ACCTCCCTTGAAAGCCTGTTCCAGAGTTTAACTATCCTTAGAGTTAGAAAGCTTTTTCTTATATCTAACCTAAATCTCCCTTGCTGCAGATTAAACCCATTATTGCTTGTCCTTCCTTCAGTGGACTTGGAAGATAATTGATCACAGTCCTCGTTATAAAAGTAAAAGCATTTCATATATTTTAAGATAGTTATTAGGTCCCCCCTCAGTTTTCTTTTCACAAGACTAAACATGCCCAGTTTTTCTAACCTTTTATCTTTTTTGTTGCTCTTCTCTGGACTCTCTCCACTTTGTCCACTTTTTTTTTTTTTTTAAGTGTGGTACCCAGAAATGGACACAGTATTCCAGCTGAGGCCTCACCAGTTCTTAGTAAAATGGGACAATTACTTCTCATCTCTTACGTATAATACTCCTGTTAATTCACTCCAGAATGATATTAGCCTTTTTAGCAACTGCATCACAATACCTGATATTCCCTTAGTGATCCACTATCATCCCAGATCCTTTTCAGCGGTATTACTATCTAGCCAGTTATTCCTCATTTTGCAGTTGTGCATTTGCTCTTTCCTTCTTATATGTAGTACTTTTCACTTGTCTCTCTTGAATTTCATCTTGTTGATTTCATACCCTAATTCTCCAATTTGTCACGGTCATTTTGAATTCTAATCCTGTCCTCCAATGCGCTTGCAGCCCCTCTGACCTTGGTTTTGTGCACAGATTTTATAAGCATACTCTCCACTCCATTATTCAAGTCATTAATGAAAATAACGAATAATACCAGACCCAGGAAGGACCCCTGCAGGGCCATACTAGATACATCAGCCCAGTTTCACAGTGAACATTAATAATACTCTTTAAGGGTGCTCTTTCAACCAGTTTTGTACCCATCTTATAGTAACTTCAGCTAGACCACATTTCCCTTGTTTACTTATGAGAATGTCATGTGAAATGCCTCATCTATCTCTTCCTCCTGATTTGGTGGTCTACAGTGGACCCCTATCATGACATCACCCCTGTTATTTTGCCTTTCATCTTCACCCAGAGAGTTTAATTTGATCTGCCTTTCACCTCCTTCTGGACCACAGAACAAGTGTATATATTCTTGATGTATAATGCAATACCTGCCTTTTTTCCCTGTCTGTCCCTCCTGAACAAACTGTACCTCTCTATACCAATATTTCAATCATGAGATTTATCCCACCACGTCTCATTGGTGCCAAATGGTATGACCTCAAAGATGCTGCCTTGTATGAGCCCATTTGTCTTCCATTAAAGTTCCTGGGTAATCTAATGTTTACAGTACTTGTTTGAGACTGAAGCCTATGCCAGGGATAGCTTCTGTCCCTAATTCTCCACTGTGTTCAATCTAGCGGTGGCCACAAAATTCAATGGATTAGAGATCCAGCCTTTCTGAGTTTTAGATAACTTCCTGCTGGTCTCTTTGTAGGTGGAAGTGTGCAATATGAAGTCACCCAAGTACTAATAAGAGAGACTAGACTTCAGTTAAAATCTGAGAGTGACAATATTGTGAGATCTTACACCATGGCATTATACAAAGGATTATGAGCCACCAAAACCCTGCCAGAGCAGCAGAGATCATGTATGTAAGTAGGCCTTACATAGACTTGAAGGCCAGAAGGGTCCATCATGATCATCTAGTCTGACCTCCTGCACATTGCAGGCCACAGACCCTCACCCACCCACTCTGGTAATAGACCTGTAGCCTCTGACTGAGTTACTGAATTCCTTAAATCATGATTTAAAGACTTCAAGTTACAGAGAATCCACCATTTATACTAATTTAAACCTGCAAGTGACCTGTTCCCTATGCTGCAGAGGAAGGCAACCCCAACTCCCACAGAGTCTTTGATAATCTGATCCAGGGGAAAATTCCCCCCAACTCCAAATACTTATATGCTAGTAAGTATATAGTTAGTAAACCCAGTTATCTGAATCCCATTGTATCGATGTGGTTCCTTCATATTACATTTATTGTATAAAGAGTAAAAGACACAACACTTGGTGATGAGGATGGGATTCTAATCCAGGAATATAGTGAAGCAGAGAGTGATTGCAGAAACTTAGTAAAAGTACAAAGGAAACTGGAGCCTACAGCCCCTGGGAATCAGATTTAACTACACATTTACATAATATTTTAAAGGTTAAAAATTCCTGGTTGTTTGGGGAAAATAGACTTCTTTGATAGCTCAGCAGAGAACTAGCCTACTAGTATTAAGAGACTGGAACAGTATATAATTGCTAATAATATAACTGATGAAAAAAGATGGTGGTTTTACTGAGCGCGATGAGTATTAAAATGTATAACCCACTATGTAACCTAACACCACCTATTAAATCTGCAGACAAATTATTTGCTGAGATTGTTGAAATTCTACAAAATCATCTCTCCCTAAAACCACTGGTAATTGAAGAGTGTTTCTGCTTTTATAAATGGAATCAAAAAGAAAATGTAACAATTTCTGAATATGTGGCTGAAGTCTGGAAATTAAAAGAGCATTGCCAGTTTAGAGGGAGTTTAATGATGAACTAAGGGGTTCCTAGAGTGGGGTATGCAGAAAGAAAGCAATCCAAAAACAGTAATTTACGGAGGCTGATTTAACTCTAAAATGTGCACTAGAAATTGCAGTATCAGTAGACAGACAAACTGGCACAAATTGAACCATTGCCAGTGACAAATGCCACAGTAAAACACAAAACTGAAAGTGATCCAGTACTGGCTAAAATGTATGATATGTAATGAATGAATGGCTTATGCACACAAACAACTTCCAGCTTTCTTTGCTTGAAAAGAACAGTTAAGTATATATCAAGGTTGCCTAATGTGTAGTACTAGAGTGGTTATTCCTTCAAAACCCAGACCATATGTATTCTAAGAAGTTGATGAAGGCCATTTGGGAATTGTAAAAATGAAAGTCCTTACCAAGAATTTTGTTTGGTGTCTACAGATTGATACACATGTGAAGGAAATGGAAAAACAATGTCAAGTTTGTCATCAAATGTAACACATGCTTAAACATGCTCCTTTGAATCCTTGGGAGTCACCATGGTAATGAATCCACATAGATTACACTGGACCACTTATGGGACACACTTTTTTTAATCGCAGTAGATGCTCATTCTAAATGGCCTGAAGTAGTCTGTATGAATTCAACTAACTCACTGCACAGAGTGGAAGTGTTAAGATTATTGTTTTCATGGACAGAAGTTTCTGAATAGATTATCAGTATTAACCGAACTCAATTCACCTCAGAAGAATTTCAGCTGTTTATCAAATAAATGGTATTAAACAGGTTACATCAATTCCATACTTTCCTGGTACAAATGGATTTTTATCCACACATTCAAGCAAGAAATTCCGGAAAGTTCAGATCCAGATTTGGATTTTGGAAATCCCAAAGTTTTGGAGGGTATTTTGGATTTAGAGTTTCGGCTGGCCCATAATATAGATAGGAGCCTTTTGCAAAGTTCAAATCAGAATCTGGGTTCAAACTTCAAACTCTACTGAAGTTTTAGGGTTTGGGGGTATGGGTTTTTGATTCAGCTCTACTTTCCCACAATAAAAGCACCCAATTTTGTAGTGACTTTTCTCTAGGACAATAACAGCATTTTCCAGAATTACATGGGATTCTTTAATTGTTACCATGAGTTCTCATTTATCAAATGTAAACCACTTACCATGTCTCATTGATATTTTTACTTTTTGCTTGTATCAGGTAGAAAGCTTCTTCAAGTGTGACTATTCTTAGGAACATTTGTTCTTAGATATATTAAATAAGTTTGACCTGTACAATTAATTTTAAATTGTTATGTACCAAATGTGGCTAGGAAAGAATGTCACAATTTTCTGGAAAGTGTCCAGAATAAGTAATACCGAGATTAGATGTAATTAAAAGTAGAGATGACACCTTTTCATGATGCTGAGTTCTAGTATCGGATCAGAATCACAATTTCCCCCCAAGTTCAGGATTGAGATGGAAGTGTTTGGAGCAGGATTCTTTTTTGAAGTACATGTTCACATCTGGATCCAGAACTATGTGCCCCATAAATTCACAGCATTCTGATCCAGGTCTCAGTTTGGACCTACCTCTGATTAAAAGAAATGAGAAAAAATGACCCCGTGGAAAAATCTTTTAAAAAATTAAGATTGATTGATCTTCCTTCTACAAAATGTTTAAACCAATCTGTGGATTCCTGTAGCATGGGTATGATTCTCTATTGAATCCTATAGGTTGATTTAAAAATTCTAATGAAAAGATAATTCTCTATCAAATTCTATAGGTTAGTTAGAATAATTTCTGTAGATCTCTTTTGGTTTCATTCTTCTTAAATTCAACAGGATTTTTCCACAAAAGAAGGAGTTTTGAGCCCAATCTAGGCCCTGTTGTGTCCTGAGTTCCTCCCACAAAAAGGTGAATATATGCCTCTTTTAATTAGATATTCTATGCTAGAATTCTGAACATCTTTCAAGTCTGCATCTTCAATCAGAATGAAATCTACAGAAGAGTCAGGACTACTTTATTTGTTACTTTTTAGGGGAAAGGGATTGAGAGTTTATGGAAAGAGAGAGGAAATTATGACATTTATTTTGAGTAAGGATTAGATCCTCAAAAATATTCATGTGCAGTTGGACTGGGGAACTCTTACTTAGAGATATAGAAGTTTAACCAAAAAAGACCTCTTCACAAGGTCCCTAGTAAATAACCAATTATCAAAGTTAATGGTTGTATAAAGCAGTGGTTCTCATACGTTTGTATTGGTGACCTCTTTTGCACAGCAAGCCTCTGAGTGCGACCCCCCCTTATAAATTAAAAACACTTTTTTTTATAGTTAGCACTATTATAAATGCTGGAGGTGAAGCGGGGTTTGGGGTGGAGGCCAACAGCTCTCAATGTCCCATGTAATAACCTCATGACCCCCTGAGGGGTCAAGGTCCCCAGTTTGAGAACCCCTGGTGTAAAGAATCATTAAAAGAACAGGAATCCAGATAAAGTAAGCTTTTTAGTCTACATTAAGTTTAAAAGGGAGCTTTACAGAACTTGAAACAAGGTATAATTAATAACTAAATTATGTTTTGTTGAGGTTCATGTTACCATACTACATAACAGGAAAGCATAAACATCCTATATTTCTTTTATATAATTCCAGGTATTTACAACGTACCTTGCAGTTTGGTAATGTAATGTCTCAGATGCTAGCAGCATAGTTTGAGCACACATTTCACAATTACATTGAACTGACATAGTTGCATCCATCACTGTATAATCTATCTTATACATCTATTCAGCACAGAGTCCATAAACATTTACAAAACACTCTTGTTTAACAGAAGCCCAAAAGGGACAACAAAAATATCCCATTTAACTTCAGAAGTAGAAGCCAATGCTTTACTTTAGCAACAACATTGCAGCTAGCAAGAACTCGTACAGCCTTATACATTTGGCTTTACTATAGCTTTTGTCACAGATGTGCACATTAATATTGTGTTGAATCAAACACACTATTTATGTGTTTGATCCAATGCAAAATAAGATCAACCCACTATAAGAGCCACTCACTATACACAGAAGAAGTTCTGAATGGTGACAGAGCTAAATCAAAAAAAGGGTCTTCATAAAAACCCATACTTCCCTTTAATAATCATATGCTAAAGTACCAGAAATTACTTGGACAATACAATATACTTCAAAATCAATCATGTTGAATTCAAAATACATTTTTTCACATATTGCTAGCCTTTCATTGACATATATTTTCCCTTTGAAAATTAGGAATATTAAAAAAATTACTTACACAGTGGTCATTTACATGAATTACTTGGATAGTTATAGAAAAAACATGTCTTTCATGATAACTACCATTAACTAAATTATAGGCCAGCTCCACTAAAAACAAACTTCACTGAAAACAATGACAAATTCAGGGTAACTAGCACAAAATCTGCTGCATTATCTCTGCACTGTGCAAGTATTTCATGTCACACTGTATTATCATGTTAAGTATATTGTGACATGCAGTATGGAGATGGGCCCAAATCAAAACTCTAGATCCAAATACCCCTGAAGTTTGATAAAGGCTAGATAGATCTGGATTTGAACCCTGGGCTCATCTCTAGTGCAGTATTTGTAATTCCTTACAGGACCTTTATTTTGTCATCTTTTTATAAACACTTAATTATTCTCAGTCTTTTCTTATACCCTCTGATTTCTGTTGCCATTTCCTTTGTTTCCTCCTGGGTTTTTTGACACTTGATTTTATTACACTGCAGTGAGCCAGATCATTACCTCACTTCAGCAGCTTTGTGCTGCAAGTGGCCGTAATGACAGTGAATCCATCTATATGAGATCTCCTGTCAAACGGAATCCTCCATGCAGCCCCAAACCACAATGCCACCTTGAACACCCCACTCCTCCTTTCAGGAGAGGCATTACTGGGGGATCCTTAGGCCCCAGCAAACCTCAGTTCCTGGAACAGCCCCTTGTGTCCTGCACTAACTTGCACCTGGGCTCAGGGCCTGCACATGCTGGCCCCAGAATACAGGAGCCACAAAGATGGTTAACAGCCACCTTTCCCCTCGCCCAGCAGTTCGACCAGCCCAAAAGATCTGGCCAAAGAGAACATATAATTCCAAACAAATTAATTAGGCAATTTAATTTGTTAAGTTCTTTGAAGATCAAAAGTGCTGCATAAGTGCTAAATAATATTAAGATTAATATAGAAACTATCAGAGGTGAGTCACAAAAAATCTTATTTTCATCTTCCAGCAATACCAATTTTCTCAGTATTTTTAATAACTTCATGATATATTGATGACTGCACGACATCAGTTTATATTTTTCCTGTGTTCTGTATATCATTAAACTAAAGGTAGATTTTCTGAGGGGGCGTAGTGGAGTTAAAGAAGAGATTCTAATTTGCACCATCACTTTGCACTGGTATAGTGACTTTAAAATAACCCCACCAGGTATATGAAGAAATAAAAATTCAGAAATTTCTGCTAACTACTTGTTTCCAGGTGATAGTAACTTGTATAATAGCCTTGGTATGGGCATTGGGTTCTTAATATTACACCAATGTAACATTATGCATTACATGACCTATGAGTCCTCCCTCCACCCAGAAAAGTTATCCTACAATAGAACATTTTCTTAGCTTTATACTTGCCTTCAACAGATTTGCCCATTTGGGATCCAAAAGATCCCCCAAAGCTTTATTTTGCGCACTACTGTTTTCACTTTTAGATGGTCCTTGTGCCATTTCATCAGGCTATGGAATAGTGTCACAAGGGAAGTAGTGCAAGGTCCAGGGATGTATAAAACTAGAATAGACAAAACACTAGAAAATACACAGGAAAACAGCCTTGCAACTGCAGGGAGATGGACTGGATGACCTAATAGGTCTATCCATCGCTAATTTCCAGGGGTTTGTGATTCACTCTACTAGTTCTCTGGCTGAAAGGGAACACCACAGGCCCCTAAGATGTTGACAGTAATGCAGCTCCATTGCGTGACTGCAGACACCCATAGACACTCATAGCAGCTGCTGCTTTCCTCTGGAACCCATGCACAAGACTGTCATTATGCAAAATTTGGCCTTTCTGTGCGGGAATTTTTGTCTCCAGACATGTAAAGCAACAACTTTGAAAAGAAAGAACTGCAGCCAATTTACGATGCATGGACAATGTCACTACATACTTTTTATGTTTGCCTCTCATTGTATATTTCAATTATAGCAGTTTGGTATTACCCTGCCAGTACAACTTCTCTTCCACTTTTTTCTTTTTCCATTGACAGAAGAGTAGCATCTTGAAAGTTTTTCTGAAAGTTTTGTTACAGAGAGCATAACAAATAGGGTTAACAGTGCTATTCACATAGCACAGCCAATATCCAAGGTGCCACAGTGTTAGAGGAATGCAGTCTGAGCAAAATGTGGAGACTAATACCATTATATTGTAGGGAGTCCAAGTGATGATAAAAGCTAGAAGAATGGCACTTAAAGTCTGGGCTGCTTTGCGCTCCTTTATAAGGACCATTCTTTTCCTTTTAGTGATTTGGTTACTTAAATTTGGATCCATGCTTTTGATGGAAGGGTCCTTTGATAAAGCAGCAGAACAAGGAGTTATTTTTACTTTTCGGCAACCATTGTTGGTTTCCTGGGTGCCATCAGCCTTAACCACCAAGTGGAATTTATAGGCTACACATTTTGGACTTTTTTGCACTTGGCTTTTGGCTGGAGATAGAAAGTATTTCTGAGTCTCAAAATCATTTTCCATAGGGTGGTCTTTGATAAAAACTTCCTTATTCTCCTCCTCATTAAACTCTTCTTTCTTATCTTTGGCTGGACTCTTGTAAGTTACTTGAAAAACTGAATCAGTGGCAGGTTTGTCCTCTTCTTCTGAGGATGCGTAGCTGCTGCAGGTGGTTAGCTGGTCTGCCTTAGACCAATCATTACAAGTATTTGGTGTTTGAGGTACTTTTGCAGTGGCTGAAGTGCTTCGACTGGATGAAGACCATGAAGCCTGACACCTCTCCCTTTTGGCTAAATTTTGTTGCTTGCAACTAAAACAGGACTTCAGAAGAGCTTTCTGGGGTTTTATCATCTCAGGCTCTGCCGCAGACTCAGAGCCTTGAAGTTCAGCAAGGTCCTTGGTACGTTTCTCAGTCTCTTTATAAATGCGGCAATATAAAATAGTCATCACTGACACTGGGATGTAGAAAGCAGCAATTGCAGTGCCGAAGGTGATAATGGGTTCATACAAAAATTGTATGTGGCATTCTTCAGATGGGACAGTTCGTTCTCCCACAAAATACTGCCAGCATAAGATTGGTGGTGCCCACAGAATAAAGGAAATTAACCAAGCTAGACCAATCATAATGCCGGCCCTTTTGGGTGTGCGCTTAGCCCTGTAGGTTAGAGGTCTTGTGATGGAAAAGTATCGATCAAAACTGATAACTAGCAAATTCATTACTGAGGCATTGCTAGCTACATAGTCCAATGCTAGCCACAGATCACATGCCAGACTTCCAAGAGACCAATGGCCTATTAGTATATAAGATGTGTAAAGATTCATAGAAAATATTCCAATGATGAGGTCTGCACAAGCAAGGCTGAGCAAGTAATAATTGTTAACAGTTTTGAGTTGACTGTTGACTTTGAAGGATATCATTACAAGAATGTTTCCCACTATGGTTATTAGGCTTACAATCGCGGTGACAGTGGCAATTGTAATGACTTCCCAAAGGCTATGCCCTTCTAACTGTTTATGGTTGACAGAAGTACTGTTTACAAAGGTTGAATTTACTTCCATTCTTGTTCTTAGTGTATTATCATCAGGATATTAAGAATGTTTTCTGTACTTGATAATATTTTTGAAGACACCTGTAAAAAATAAAGGGGAGAGAGAGAGTGCAGCTCATTAAACAGCACAGGACTTTCAACAGACTTATTTAGCACAAAATATTGACATTTTAAGCCATTGTATATATAGTATGTTGGAAGCAGTAAAAATGTTATTTTAATGTTTTAAATAACACAACTTGCTCCAGATGACTGTTTTTGCTGCAAATGAAACATTATAATCAGATTATTTTCATGCTTTCTTTGCATTGTGATTGCTGTTTCCACCATTCTACTCATAAATTAAAGGTGCATTTTAGGGAACCTTGCTGCATTCTGTAGATCCTGAAACAATGCTAAGTGCAGCCAAAATAACTACTGTTTCATAAAGTATTCAGTCTTGTCATCCCTTATCTCCTAAATATTTCAGTAGGATACAGGACATGTTCTTCGATGCACAGACATTTAAAGTTTCACAAAACAATGAGACAGGGATTCATAGTGTTCCTTTTTGAATGTAGTGCACTGTGCATCATAATTGCCAACATTTCAAAAACAAATTAGGAAGATTCTGTGAAGAAGCCAGTGTTTGGGGAACCATCAGGAGAACCGAGGGTAAGAGTGGGTAGGTGAGTTGAGTGTGTCTGGAAGAGGCAGAAGGGAAAGATGCAGTTGGAGGACCTTGGGGAGACACAAGAGGAGTATTGGTGTTAAAGAGGATTCGGGGGTACCTGGGGTTAGATTAAAGAGCTAGATAGAAGAGAGGTTGTGGAGTTGAGGGATTTGGCGAGAGAGAGAGAGAGAGAGAGCAGTCACTAGATTTTGGTAGAGGTGGGAAGAGGGTTAGACTACACATAGAAAGGAGATAGCTAGGTTGGAGGCGAGTCAGGAATAGAGGGCAACTGGTTCTGGTCTGGGTAAGGGAAGACTGAAAGAGGAGTTGCTCTGTAGTAGCAACTTCTCTGCTCGAAGTAAACAATTAGTGGCTCAAGATACTTCACTCCCTGCCTCCTCCTTCCCTCTACTTAAAAGACTAGCAACTCAAGCCAAATAAGGGAGGAATAGTACCGAATACTATGGGCTGGAATAGTGGCTGCAGCCTTGCACCATGGCACTGGCTTGTGGGTTCCCAGCCACTTTGCACTCCATCTGCGTATAATTCAAATACTCAGACTTTATACAGGTGGATTTAATCATAACAAATACATAACTTGTACTAGTAGGTTTGGAGCACACTATGAAAATACACAGCAAACTATTACACATCGCCATGTGTTTTATATTCAACAGCATAATTCTCAGCTGAAATACACATTTTCAAAGCAGGGCACAGGTGCTGCCTACACAGATTCCATGAAATAATAGTCTGTTGTAATGTTGAAATGCACCTAATATTTGCATTACTTTGAGCAATTTAGCACCAGTATTGCCTATCTATATCCTGGGGTGGTGTTAAAGTGTATTTTGAAGAGGGGGCAAATATATATTGTTGTGACCACTATCTTTTTAAAATCTATTGTATACTTTTGAAATAAAACCCCTTCAGTAATATTCATTCATGAAATAACGCTAATTGTAGTTAATGGTGTTATTCCAGGGTTGAATTTGGTTGCTTGTATTTAGGACGCTAGTAAAATTGTTTTAGAGTAGCAGCCGTGTTAGTCTGTGTCCGCAAAAAGAACAGGAGGACTTGTGGCACCTTAGAGACTAACAAATTTATTAGAGCATAAGCTTTCGTGGGCTACAGCTCACTACATCAGATTGTTTTGAAGTTCTGGTTTTGAACTACAAGGAACCTTCTCACCTTGCCCAGTCTACACAATGGCCATTCATAATTGTAGTGCCTGTGCTCAAGAAGCACTGGAGCTGCTCCTTTTGTGCATCCCTGAGGGCACATAATGCTGCAAAGTGGGGTGGGGTAGAGGGAGAAGGTGCGTCCATAGCCCCAACCTCACTGCGTAAAATGTTAAGTCTGGCATTGTCAGTGTAGTGCCGCTGTACACTGGCCCTCTCAAAGAGGTTTCCCCAAATTGTGCAGTTCCATGCTGCTGTTTACTTGCACCAGTGGATAAGTGCCATAACTTGGAGCTGTCAAAAATCTCTGCTCTTTGATGGATCATTCAAGCACTTATGAAGATATTTTATTTGTCCTATTAGACAAAATATGACCATATAATTTCCAGAATAAGACAAACAGTAGTTAAGCTTTTAGGGTATATACACACAGAATAATACCACTAATTATTTATTACTGATTGAGGATCTACAGTATGCTTAGCACAGTACAAAATATAGACGACAACTCCTCTGAAAAGTTAATGTTTTAAAAGACAGCAAAAACAGTTCAGACAGAAATACCAGATAGAAGTAATTCTCAAAGCAAGCATGTTGGTAATATGCTTATATCTATCTATCTACTGGGGGGAAGGGATGGTGAAAGGGAATCTATAGGCTGGAGGATAGTCAGAATAGAGGACCACTGATTCTGATCTGGGTAGGAGAAGGCTGAAGGAGATGTTCTGTAGCAGCCACCTCCTCTCCTCCAGGAACAAAATTAGTGGCTCAAGCCATTTTGCCCCTCTGACTCTTCCTCGCCTCCAGGTAAACAAGCATCAGAATTACGTGGTTTGTTCATTGTTCCTGGAGGATTCTATTGGTGACTCAGACTCTTTTGGTACATAATCTGTTTAGTATCATGTACAATTTATAGCACTTTCCTTCCTGCAGAAGACTCATCAAACTAAGCAAATAATAAAGAGCAAGGTCAGGTGTTAAACAAAGTTTCCCCAATAAGATTACGCTTCATAAAAGAAGTGTGTTTTAAGGAATAATTATGAAGTTTAACAGAAGGCAGCACAAACATTAGAGTGGGAAAAAGATACATTTGGGGCATATGGCAGGTGGCTTGGGGTGAATTAGATATCAGGGACCTGTTCCTCAGTTTTGGTGGAAGAAACATTTGGGGGCCTACCCGGTCCCTGCAGTAAAATACAGCAGCTTCAGTCCTGCTTTAATTTAAGCCCCATTTACACAAAGACATTGCATCTATTTAACAAAACTGGTGTCTAGATTTATTTAGTTAGGTCAGTGCAATCTTTACAAGGTGGGATATCTGATATATGTAGGTTTCAGAGTAACAGCCGTGTTAGTCTGTATTCGCAAAAAGAAAAGGAGTACTTGTGGCACCTTAGAGACTAACCAATTTATTTGAGCATGCGCTTTCGTGAGCTACAGCTCACTTCATCGGATGCAAGGAGTTTATATGTAGGAGTTTAGTGTGGTTGTTTTGTCTAATCATAGAATCATAGAATATCAGGGTTGCAAGTGACCTCAGGAGGTCATCTAGTCCAACCCCTTCTCAAAGCAGGACTTAATCCCCAACTTGTCCTCCCAGTTATGGAGCTTGTTCCTGGAGTAAAAGAATTATAGGGCCCACTTGCTTGTGAACATCTGTGTGCTTCTGTAGCTGGAAGCAGACGTACTCTCTCCTAAACAGCGTGTTGGTTTCGGCTGGGCACACATCTGGGTGGTCCCAACCTTGTGCAGCCTATTCCGGGCACACTTATCCAAGAATGTGAGTCAGATCTAGGGTACATGAACTCCAACTCTTCTCCATCCAAGCACTCATTGCTTGTCTAGATCTTAGGCACAGGCTAGACAGACAATTTCAGATTCCCATCCTCTACCTATTTGGTGCTGTCTACAGGAGCTGCTTCTTTCAAACCACTGAATGGCAAGTGGGCTACAATCCCATTAAAGACAGGTTTCAGAGTAACAGCCATGTTAGTCTGTATTCGCAAAAAGAAAAGAAGTACTTGTGGCACCTTAGAGACTAACCAATTTATTTGAGCATAAGCTTTTGTGAGCTACAGCTCACTTCATCGGATGCATACTGTGGAAAGTTTAGAAGATCTTATATACACACAAAGCATGAAAAAATACCTCCTCCCACCCCACTCTCCTGCTGGTAATAGCTTATTTAAAGTGATCACTCTCCTTACAATGTGTATGATAATCAAGTTGGGCCATTTCCAGCACAAATCCAGGTTTTCTCACCCCCCCCCCCACACAAACTCACTCTCCTGCTCAGCACTGCTCACTCTCCTGCTCAGTTTGTGTGTGTGATCATGCATCCGATGAAGCGAGTTGTAGCTCACGAAAGCTCATGCTCAAATAAATTGGTTAGTCTCTAAGGTGCCACAAGTACTCCTTTTCATTTTGCAAAGACAGACTAACACGGCTGTTACTCTGATACTTGATATGTGACAGCCCATCAGTTTTGATGTCACCTGGCTACTTTTGAAGTCTTTAAACCATGATTTGAGGACTTCAATAGCTCAGACATAGGTGAGAGGTTTATCGCAGGAATGGGTGGGTGAGATTCTGTGGCCTGCATTGTGCAGGAGGTCAGACTAGATGACCATAATGGTCCCTTCTGACCTTAATATCTATGAATCTATGAACTTGTCCTTTGTCTTTGAAAAACAGATTTATCCACTCGACAGACTTGTCCGGTAAACACACTTCAGTCACAATTTCAGCTTATGTTCATAACTTTACATATAATGTTGCTACATACACTTCACCATGATATTACTGACCAGCAAGTTATTAGTTTTCAAATGATACCTTACAAGGCATATTTTGTACATTACAATAGTGTGTACATTACAATAGTGTGTAGGGTGTGAATACAGAGGTCCATTTGGTCACAGTGAGTTTAGTGTACTTGTGGCAATTGTGGCAGCTCACTATGGTTGTTTGTGGTGTGTGAGCATTAATATGGTTGTGATATGTGTCATGGCTGTGTTGTGTTGTGTGGAAATCAATGCTGTTGGGGTCTCAATATGTTAGGTCAGGATATTGTGTGTAGTGAAGGTGCTCACTAGGCTGTTGTAGGTGCATAGGGGGTTCATTGTGTTTACGTTGTGTGGGGAGGGTCAGTGTTACGGGGTGTCTGTGTGCAAGAATGGGCCAATGGTGGGGTTTGGTGTGTTGTGTAGCCATTGTGGAGTGTATGTGAGAGAGAAGGGCTGTGTGTGCAGAGAACTTGGTGAGTTGCGGTTGTGTTGTTGCATGGTTTAGTTGTTATGGGATTTGGTATGCTTAGTTGTAAGGGTCTCAGTGTTATGCTGTGTTAGTGGTCACTGTGGTTGTGTTGTGTGGGGCCCCTGTGATTATATTGTGTAGGGGTCACCGTGGTTGCGAGGGGCTTGGTATGGATGTGTTGTGCAGGAATCACTGTGGTAGTGAGGGGCTCCGGGTGGTTATTTTGGGCAAGGGGTGTCACTGGTTGCCAGGGGCTCGGGGTGGTTGTGAGGGACTCAGGGTGGCTGGTTGTGCTATGCGGTGGTGGGCAGGGGTCGCTGTGGTTGGGAAGGATTTGAGGGGCGGGGGCGTTGTGCCGTCCCCGTGGGAGCGGACCCGGCGCCCCCTCTTTCGGGCCTGCCCGGTGGTTGTTTCCGGAGGCGGGGACCGGCGCGGCGCGGCGCGGGTCAGGCCGGTTCTCGGCTGCACGCGCGGCGGGAAGGAGAGGCGCTGCCGGGCCATGCAGGCGGAGCGCGGCGGCGGCGGCGGCCGGCCCAGGCGGGGAGGCTGCAGGCAGGGCAGGAGGAGGCCCGGCGGCGGGGATAGAGCAGCAGAAGGCGGCGGGGACGGACACAGCCGAGGAGGCGGGGGCCGCGGAAGAGGCGGCGCTCATGGGCACGGAGGAGGCGGGGGCCGAGGCAGGCGAGACCCTCGGAGCCGGGGGGCAGCGTCTCCCCCCCCTGCTCGCTACCACAGACGGGTAAGAGGGAGCAGAGACCGCGGCACGCGCCCGCCCCGGGAAGGGGCTGCTGCAGCCACCACAGCAGGCACAGGCCCCGCTCGGCCGCCTGCCTGCCGCTCGCTTCCCGCCGCGCGCCCTCCTCGCTGACTAGAGGTGCAGGCTGGGCTGAGAGGAGCGCCCTGCAGGAGGGGAGCCGTAACCCCCCCGCAGCAGTGCCGGGTCTGAAAATTACCCGGGAGGTGGTCGCGAGCCGAGCCCGGGGCTGGACTCCCCCGAGCCTGTTTTGTGAGACTCCGGGGAGGGGAACACGCTGTGCAGCGCTTGAAATGCAGATTTGGATTTCGTGGCGTGAATCCATCTCTAGTGTGACACTGAAAAGCGCCGCTTGCCAGAACGCGTTTGTTTGGCAGAGTGGGAGGAGCGAGGCACCAACTACTGGCACCAGTGACTAGCTGCAGAAGCTGAGAGGCCACTGTGCCCACCCCGGCATATCACACGTCACCCACCCCTTTCACGTAAATTCTGCTTGTGACGTTGTGCTGTGTTTTTTGGGATCAGTGGTTCAGTATTTCTGATTCTTATACTGTGGTTCTTCCTCTTGCCCTCTGGTTAATCTCCCAGTTAAATTGTGAGTGAGCCCCTGACTACAGTAGTGGTCTGGCACCCTGGGGAGCCAGGTGTAGATAGAGCAGCTGCTTCTGCCACATTTCTGATCACACTCTGAGCCCTTAGATGATGTGATGATTTAGAACGTTGGTGTCAGCTGGTGTATCAGCTATGTTCTGGCTCCCACCATTGCTTATGCTGGTATATGGCCTTAACCCCCGTCCTGCAGTGTAACGCACAAATGGATCCTGGTGCAGAATCAGGGCCTTAAAGTATAAAATGAAACTGTTGTTTGGTGCCATTACATAAAATGTATTCACTAGTAATGTCATTTGTAAACAATATAAACTTCTATGGTGTTACATACATAAAAATGACTGGACTCTCTATTTTGAATATTAAGTTTTGTTTTCAATCCTGGGGCATACAAATGCAGGTGGAATAAAAGCACTCTGCAGCACCTGCAATAATTGAGAAAACCAATAGCTTTGGCTTACTTTGTGCTGGATCCTGCAAGAGTACAGGCAACAGGAAATAGGACGTAAAGTCCTAAAGAGTTTTGACATCTACTGCAGAGAATATAGCAAAGATAACTGCCCCATGATAGGCCTTGTCTACAGGAGAAAGTGCTTGCAAAATTTATTTAATTCAGTTAATTTAATTCAGTTGAAGCTATTTGTGTGTGTGTGTGGGGGAGGCAGGCAGGCATGTGAGCCCATGCATGTGTGTGGCCTTTAAATAACAACAGTTTCAACCTTTGTATAATTAATTTTTTTTATCTGGATATTTTTGTATATATTCCAGTATTGTTGATTACTTACAGACAGTTTTTTTAACTTTAAAGGGAAACAGTCAACCTAAAATCACATTTCTGTATGAATTTTTTAACCTGATATTTTTGGAAGTAGCCCCCAAAGGTTTACTATAACTAAGAGAACAGAGAGTGTTTTTTAGTTCTCTATTTTCTCAGTTTGTTTACTTTGTGCATTTGACAATACTTTCACTATTTTATTGATAGTTGTACTCTGTATCAAGTGCACGTGTAACGCACCTTATTTTTGCTCACAAAAGTACTCCCAATGGTGTATGTGTGTGCCAGCTGTAGGTTGGATTAGACTTACTTCCAGCAAGACTAACCACTGTCAGTATCCTCTATGTTATTCTGTTATGTCAGTGCCAGTGGGACTGAGATGGATCACATGACAGCACCAACAGTGCACACAGTGCTCCCAGAGCTATCCTATAATTTCCCTGCCTATGTGCTTGGAACTGTTGGATAGGTACCCCGAAGGTGTGGCAGCTCCCATTTGGGTACTTTGAAGACCTCAAACCATGCCATTCCCCATTCCTTCAACCAGCTCCTGTAGCTCCCTGGGACCTGTGGGGAGGGAAGACCTTGGCATGCTGGCTCTTAGTTTGCTAGAATCCACAGAAGTACTAGGAATATCTGCCTCCTCCAATCCCTTCTGCTCCTACCAGGTCATTCTAGATGCTCCTTGGGGCCCATGGAGGAGCCCTGGGGAGAGAAGACTGTACTCTCCATCCCAACCAACCTTGTCCTGGTCAGGCATTTTGGGAGAGCTTTCCTGTTTGGATTAGAACCATTTTAATGTGGTAGATCTTGAAGCTGAACTAGATGTTTCTTAAAAATAATTTCAGACTTGTATTCTTACACAAAGTTTAAAAATACATTGCAAAGTCGCTTAGAAAACTTGCTTAGAAAACTATTGAGGGTAAACTATTTGATATTTGCAAAAAGAAAAGGAGTACTTGTGGCACCTTAGAGACTAACAAATTTATTTGAGCATAAGCTTTCGTGAGCTACAGCTCACTTCATCCGATGAAGCTGTAGCTCACGAAAGCTTATGCTCAAATAAATTTGTTAGTCTCTAAGGTGCCACAAGTACTCCTTTTCTTTTTGCAAATACAGACTAACACGGCTGTTACTCTGAAACCTATTCGATATTTGAATTCCTTCTCACTGTTGGCATTTCAACCTCTAATATGGAAGTCTCTGTTGTATTATGCTTGCAATTATGGTAAACCTAGGTGAGATCTATTAAGAGTATGTCAAATTAAAGTCGTCAGATTTTTGGTTTGCTCAGCCTACTTCCATGCAGATGAGAGATGAAATGCAAATAAAATTACGGGCAAACAGAGACCAGCAATTCAGTAAACCTATAATAAAGTAAACTTTTATGAACAAAATAGTTTCATATGTTGAGAAACATGTACTGATGTCACACCATTAGTATGTTCATCTTAAGTTTCCTGAGTGTCCCTGTGTAGACATGGCTTTAGGGTTCTTTTTTGCACAAAGGCACTCTTTGTGCACAATGAGTGTCTACAAGGAGAACTTTTGTGGAATAGCTGATTCTGGGCTATTTCCCCATGTAAGCATGTCCTTAAGCTGTAATGCAAATCTCCAACACTGTTTTGTAATAATGTTTTCCTGTCTGCAGTGCAAACAAAAACCATGTTAAAACACTGATGCCCCATACTGTGTCAGTCATTGATTAGGCATGGTTAGTCTCAGGGCGTGTCTACATTCAGGAAATTTAAGACAAGTTAACATATGGTGTGAAATTAAACCACATTAAAGCACATTAAACCTCTTTATGGATGCTCTACTTCAGAAGTAAAGTGGCCTAAGGGCTTGTTTACATTTGAAAGTTAGGCCTTGTCTACACTGCCACTTTCTTGCTCAGGGATGTGAAAAAACACCCCCCTGAGCGCTGCAAGTTTCAGCGCTGTAAAGTGGCAGTATAGACAGTGCACCAGTGCTGGTAGCCACACTCCCAGCGCTGGTAGCTACTCCCCTTGTGGGGGTGGTTCTTTCCCAGCGCTGGAGCTGTGACTACACAGCCATGTTAAAGCGCTGCCACATACCCTTATTCTGGAATAAGTATCTACACATGGACTTATTCAGGATTAGGGTGTGGGTTTTTTGTGTTTTTTAAGACAAATCCTTAGTTTGCTGTGGTTTAATCCTCCAGGATTAATATACAGCAAACTAAAGCCACTTTACGTCTGAATGAGAGCATCCATGCAGGGTTTTAATGCACTTTATGTGCCATAAGATGAATTAACGAGTTGTAAAGTTAACTTTCCTGAATGGACCTGTGTAGAGAAACCCTCAGGGTATGTCTGTCACAGAGCCTATACCGCATAGCCAAATTTATATAGCCCCCTATTGTAGACACAACCTACGTCAACATAAGGAGTTTTTCTGTGAGTGTGGGAACACCACCTCCACAAACAATGCTACCTATGTCAACAGAAGTGGTCTTCCGTCAGCGTAGCAGTGTCTATACTGTGGTTTTTGTTGGCATAGCTATGTCAGTGAGTGGGGTGGTTTTTTTCACACCCCTGACAAACACAGCTACGCCAACATAACTTTTAAATGTAGATCAAGTCTCAGTGTAGGTTAACCCACAACAGATGTTTTGTCTTAGTTACTAGTAAATCTCTGTACCCAAAGCAAGTGAGGCTTTGTCTAGACTTAAAGTTTAAATTGACATAGCTACATTGGTCAGGGGTGTGAAAAATCCACAAGCCTGACCCATGTAGCTGTGCCAACTTAACCCCAAGTGTAGATGCAGTTAAGTTGGTGGAAGAATGCTTCCATCACTCTAGCTACTGTTGTTGGGGGAGGTGGTGTTCCTACATTGATGGAAAAACCTCTTCCATTGGTGTATGCTGCATCCATACTAGAGGGTTATGCCAACATAGCTAGACTGACATAGCCATGCTGGTAAAGTCTCCTATGTGTAGACCTGGCGTTAGAATGGAAACATTTTAACTTTTGAGATCTGGAGTTCAGGATTCTGCTTTTCACTTGGAAGCTTTGATGGTATCAGAGGCATCAGAGAAGTGTGTTTTTTGTCCAGGCTTGCAAGAGAAACTTGCAATTTGAACTCTAGGATAGTAAAGGAGAAAATAACGTTAAAATATTAGTTTTAAAATACAAATTAATTTTATTAATTTTATGTCTGCATATATTTTGTGTTACTGATTTACATCTCAAACACTTTTGTGTTTTTAAGTGTTTTGGTCTGTTTTTCTTTTTTTTTAAATCTGATTTATGTATTACCAATGCACCTCTCTGAAGTATCTGGACACTTTATTAAGGAATTGACATAATTGCTGTGTCATTCTTTCAGCAAATAAGCCTAGAATCACTCAGGTTAGAACACCATGAGGAACAGTGTGACTAGTGTCTGATATTCTTCCTTGGGAAGGGGGAAAAAAAGGGGACTGACAACCAAATGGTGTTATCTTTGACCAGGATGCACTTTGTTTTAATTGGCGCGAAGACTGAATGTTCCCAGTCCTCTACCACAACATGATATGTGGGAGAGACAGGCTCTGGGGCAGTTGGTTTGCCAAATGTCATATTTCATTGCAGGTGT